CCTTCTTCTGCTGCTCCTTCTGCTGCTGCTGTTGCTTCTTCTGCAGTGCTGCTGTTTCTGCTGCTTCATCCCGAGGCTTTGCAAAGCCCCTCCGCGGGCCCCTTCCCGAGCCCCTCCGCGGCTTTGCTCCACGGCTTCCTGGTCTGCCGACCCGGGGGGGGAGAAAGCCCCGGAGTACATGTGTGGCAGGACCGCGAGGTCCCGCAGTCCGTGTCCTCCGGGGCAAGCCCCGTTCGTAACTGTGGATCTGACGTAAGTCGGATCCGCGTAAGTCGGGGACTGCCTGTATACAGGGCTCTCCGAAAGAGCACGTTTGCTCTTCCATGAATAAAAGTGGAAGAGCAAACCGCTCCCTGGAGGTGGTGGGGGTTTTCCGGGATACTTCCATTATCCGAAAAAACCCTGTAGTCTAGACGTAGCCTTAGAATTCTAACGAAAAGATATGTCTGCTGACCACATTGAATTTACAGCTTTATAGGTGCTTTTGTTTAATCAACACTGTTTAAAAAAGTCATATTTTCAAGATCGATAAAGTATCTTAGAAATGCTAACTACTTTGCAGATGTTCAACTTATAAGATCTGCTACCACCAGCACTCGCCTTACACACAGTGAGGCACTACAGCCATTTTTAGGACCATCGACTAGGTCTACTGGCAGATAAGAAATTGAATCCTGTCAAGTACAACAGCCAGTAGAATAGTAATCCTGATTTGCTCTCTACTAAGACTTACAATCAATGTAACAGATTTAGAGAGTGATCACTTGTTAAAAAATATTAGGAACAAGTTGGAAGGAAAATCTCTTTAAGCTGGAATAGAGAGATCACATTCAGGCACATTTTTATATATCTTTATAAATTTGTATTGTATTTTTAAACATTAAGTGAAATTCGTAACACTAGAGAAATAATCAGCTAAGATCACAGGTCAGAAAATGTGCAAACATTTAGAGATATTTAAAATAGTTTTTCGTGGCTCTATAGCAAGGAGAACACATTTTCTCAGCTTATTTTTCCCCTTGTGTGATTTATATAGATATAGATATAAAAAAAGAATGGATATTTGCAGGAAAAATCTTGTATGGACAAAGCATATTTCAGCATAGAACTAAATTACCTATTTCCACCTGGAGTTCATAATGTGAGACATCAGGAGAACAAAGTGACATTTCATCTCTTCCAGATGGATGAATCCAGGATAACTCCGGTTCATCTGCCTAGTAGTGGAAGGATTTGTTTTTAATATTGGTATAAATACTGGTTTGTGTGAGAGTATATGTAAAAACAAACACACTCTAGTGCAGTGGCTTCCAACCTTTATGAGCACAAGATCACTTTTTGAATTTAAGTGCAATCCAGAATCTACCCCAAAATCAAATATCTTTGCCCTGCCTCCTTCCCCAAGGTCCTGCTCCTCCCCCACACCTCCAGGGCACTACCCTTGTCACTTCATTCCTCCTCCACACTCACTTTCATCAGCTTGGGGTAGGAGGTTAGAGTGCATGGGGTGCTGTGGGATTTGGGAGTGGCTTTGGGATGAGGTTGGGCTAGGGGGTTGGGAGTGCAGGAGAGGGTTCAGGGTAAGGGCTCTGGGAGAGAGTTGGGATGCAGGGGCAGGTTCAGGGCTGGTGCAGGAGTTCGGAATGCAAGCTCTGGCTGGACACTGTGGTGGCTCCTGAGATGTGGGGCTAAGGCAGGTTCACCCCCACCCTGGCCTTCACCACTCCTGAAAGTGGCCAGCATGTTGCTTGTAGTATGTAGCTGTTCCTGGGCGGGAGGGGCAGGTGGCTTCACATTCTGCCCCCGTCTGCAGGCACCACTCCCACACCTCCACTTGGCTGTGGTTCCCTGTTCTCAACCAATGGGAGCTGCAGGGGTAGTGCTTGCAGGTCAGGGCAGCGTGTAATGATCCCCCTGCCCTGCTACTTTTAACAGCCACAGAGATGTGCCAGCTGTTTCCAGGAGCAACAGAGGGCGGAGGGGGAGAGGCGGGGGAGTCTGCCTTAGCTCTGCTGCACTGCCGGACTGATAGCAGCCTCTCCCCCAGTTTAGCTGCAGGAGCCCATAGGAGGTCAAACCCGATTCCAGGAGACTCCCAGCAATTATTCTGCCCATTGAGGTAATGTGAGATGTACACTCTCTGTAGAACCCTAAAATAACACACTTTAAAAGGAGCAAAAGATGTAGCGACATTAGCAACTGTTGGGTTGGGAGGTGCATGTGAAAGACAGAGTGTGTTTGTGTGAGTGACAGACACACACACCGTGTGTAAGAGTGACAGAGATTCGCATTGTCCCTTGAAGAATGCTGAGCGCGTTCAGACAGAGAAGCATCTGCCAGCAAGCTCACTCCATCCTGAGCCCTATTGTGAGCTTCTTTCTGTGGAGATGGCATACAGGGGTGGGGAATAGGGGATACCCTGACATAAGTCTCCCTCACACCTTCCGCTCTGCTTCCTCCATCCTGCAAAGCAAGCAGGAGGCTCCCAGGGCACAGCTCCAAGGCAGAAGGCAGGAAAAACACAATAATGGGCTGAAGTGCTGGCTCTTGATAGCCTCCCAGCCAAACCAGTCAGAATCACCTGTCAGAAGCTCCAAGATCTACCAGCAGATCCCGATCCCCTGAAGCGTGTGTGTGAGAGAGAAATCGAGCACTCAAATCTTGAGATTCAAGAAGTTAAGGTTTCTGTCACAGTATGAGACTTGGAGAAAGTATTCATTCCAGTTTTTTCTAATACAGATTGAAGAGTAATGAACTTGGGTTTAGATGCAAGAAAAACTGGAATAGAAAATACTACATATTCTATCCAAAACCTTGCCAAGTTAATATTGCAATAGTAAGTTTACTCTTTGGAAATTCCTGACATACAGTGCTTAATTTCTCAGCCTTACATTTTTTCCATTTTAAATGTGCAGGTTACCTCTTATTTCAATCTGAACTTCTTCTTACCAAATATTGATGGATGCTATTTTCACATTGCTTTTCTGGTCTGATTGATTCAACAGTTGTCCGCAGAATACAGGAACAATCCTTGAAATACATAGTACTGTATCAGTAACTGAACTGCAATGGATGTACTTAAAATCAATAGAGGGTATTACGGGGGACAACACATTACTCAAAGCCATGTTCCAATTGTCCAGGACCTCATCAAAAAGAATCTCTGTGCACATCATGTTAATGGAGTGGTCCCCAAAAATTTTGCTTGTGCCATCCTTTACCTGGTCCATCCCCCTCCCCAAGTGATGGGGATCCAATTGGAGCCAGAGCTTCTGATGGGGTTGAGGCCAGGGCCTGTGCCGGGGGCAGAGTGAAGCTGGGTGACACTCCCTTCCCCATTTCTTGGAGAGACTGACCTGGGCTGCACCATACCCCCCCAAACAGTCCCCCGTGCTCCACAGTTTGGGGACTACTGTGTTAGATAGTCTATTGATATAAGTAAAGCAAGGAACACAGAGGGTAGAAGAGTTCCCCTAAGAACAGTAGCACTTAAGGGTCCAATGTAATTGCCCTCTTCCATGCCATTTTGCTCTTCTAGGATCTACCTTTCAAAATTGAGAAATATACAAATTTCAAAGCTGTTTAAGGTTTTTCTTCATTTAAAATGAATAAGCCCCACTCCAATGAGCACCAACAAGTTTACCAGCTCTCTGCATTAGTGCATGGTGCTAGAAGAGAAACTTGCTCTCTCCTGAACTCTTTACTAACATCTACATTAGGAATTTGTTATTGTTCACTGCTAGAATCACTTGAATTGAGTTTTCCCTCAGCAAATAGCAAGACATTTCAATGGGAGTTTTATTTCAGTTAGATACGTGACTGAATTACAAGGTGCAACTATGAAAAACTATGGCATAAAACAAGCCCTATTGGATACTGACTTACCAAACAAGACATGGAACTGCTTTAGTTCAGGGTTAGGTCAAGCATACCCATTTATCCTAAAAATAAAATATGACAATAATATCAATGCAAAAACGAAGTATTTCTTCACGTAGCACCCAATCAACCTATGGAACTCTTTGCTAGAGGATGTTGCAAAGGCCAAGATTGTAAAGTTTGTAACAGGATTCAAGAACTAGGTAAGTTCAAAGGAAAATAGGTTCATCAATAGACATGCCCCTAGGCTCTGTTTGCTGGGAATGGATCAATTGATTTACCTTTTCTGCTTATTATTTCTGTAGCATCTGACATTGGGAACTGTCAGAAGACGGGATATTGGGCTAGATCAGGGGTGGGACCTAATGGAAAGGGCAGGGGCAGGATGCTTCCTGGCTTCCCCACCCACAGAGCATGATTGGTCTTGGGGTGGGAGAGTCTCTTTGCACCCCCATTCCCACTAAGCACCCATACCCCTGGCAAGGTGGGAAGAGGCTTTGCATGCTCCCCCACCTGCAGGCCAATTAGGGTCTGGGGGCGTGGGAACTGCACAAAGTTTCTTCTGCCCTGCCAAGAGCACATAGCACTTTGAAATGTGGTGCACTTCTTGCAGAGCAGGAGACTTCATATGCTCCCTCTCCCGCAAGCCCTGATTGGTATGGGGGCGGTGGGCATGTGCAAAGTTTTCTCCGCCCTACCCCCACCCAGGGAGGAGCATGCGGCACTTCAATCCGAGCTTAGGGGTGGAGGAGTGCACAAAGCTTCCTCCACCCTGCCCCCATCTTGGGAGGCGCGCACGGCACTTCAAAGTGCTACGTGCTCTTGGCAGGGCGGAGGAAACTTCATGTACTTCCCCTGCCCCTGGGCCCTCACTGGCCCGGGTGCGGGGGAAAGGCAGGGCTTCCACGGGCCGGATCAACCTGCTTAGCAGGCCGCATTCGGCCTGCGGAGGCCCTTTTGCCCACCCCGGGCTAGATGCACCACTGGTATGACTTAGTATGGCTACTCGTATGTCCATCCGTAAAACAATATTGGAACAAAATCCCAAGCTAAATGTCAGTCTCTCAGTTACAAGCTATGGAAGTCCAACGTTTTATATAAGAAATGTCTCCAAAGCATCCTCCTCAGCTACTAATTCTTTCATAACGGTACATAATGGTGAAAGCTTACAGTATGGCAGCATATGACTTGCCTATTCTCACCAAAGTTTCTGGACACTAATGTTAAACAGTTTATAGAGGCACTGCTCAGACATACTGATTTATATCATATAGACAACTTCATCCTAAAGCAATTTCTCCCTTCTAATTCATGTATTTGGAGTCACTCTTTGAACAGATTGACTGTTTACCTATACATCAACTACAAGAAAAGAGACACTGAAATAGAAAGAATGGATTTA